GCAGCATCGTCAGCGTTCTTTTGTCGAGATCTTCTCCCTCCTGAACGCTTTCATTCTTTCTCCAATCTCTTGGCGGGCAAATTCTTCCTTCAACTCCTTCAACTGAAAGTCCCTCAGCTCCTTGTAGTCTATCCACCAGTCGCTCATCGGATGCTCTGTCTCCTTAATGTATTCAAATCTAAGGTAATCCTCTAGGAACTTTGGGATGAACTTTCTGAATGGGATTGACTTCAGTTCTCTGAGCTTCCCCCAGTCCTCTGTCAACTCTAGTAACCTCGTCCTTCTGTAATAAGCCTCTGGTGACGCTGGTTCCACAAATTCAGCCCCCGAGGTTGTGGTTACTACTCTTCGCCCGTCTATAGATTTGATTCTTTGAATCCTCTTTTCAATTTTCTGCTCAATCTTCTCGAATTCCCTATGTAACACTTTTCGCTTGCCTGGATCTATTTTGTTAGCTTGTTCTGAACCTAGGGTTTTCAGATTTATTGTTTAATTTGAGAATTTTATGAATCTTGCCTTATTAGTTCTAAAATGCTAACAATATTCATATACAAGTAATCATATCCAAAATCTCAGTGATTTGAACCCTAACTCCTCCCCCTCACAACAAAACAGAACACTATAGTAAGTGTTTCGTTGTAAAAAAGTGAGAAAATCACTGTACAGCGCCAAGCAAACAGATTATTGTAAAATTGGTCCATACGAAGCAAGTATATCAGTTATTATACCTAAATCTAGCAGATAACAAACTTAGATTCACAGAAATCGAAGATATAAAAAATAGTGCAAAGTTGAAGAACAGATAGTTTTCGCTAAAAGAATTTGTGATTCTGCGTTATTGTGCATCAAATCAGAGAAAATCAAGCATGAAATCAAAGTTATTGACTAAGGTTAGTCTAGATCTTACCTTAGATTGAGCTAATTTTGGCTGAATAATCGAGATTTTTGAATCTTTGGGCACGGAGAAATGGCAGTTACTGAAGCTTCTTGAGGAAGTTACTGTAGGGTAAAAGTGGAAAATGGCTGTGAACTGGGGTATCTATAGAGTTACTGGCGCTTATGTGGAGGGGTGAGTGGAGCGATGACTAGTCCACTGTATATTAATATAAAGGTATAAGGGTAAGGTTCAGGGCGGGTGAGTGGTTAAAACAATACTTCTAGGTACCTATGTATGACACACAAGCGGTGATGGAAGCGGTACTGGGTGAGCAATACTGCTCTTTCAGTATGTATCAGAATGAGACAAGCGAAGCGATAATTGGCTTGGGTCAGACTTAGGTTAGAAGTTAAAATCCTAATTATTTTTCTAAAGAAGCGAAGCGTTAACCTACTTCTAAAAAGCAATAACCTTAATTATTAAAGCAATAACAATTATTCTATGAAAAGCAATAACTAAAGCTGTAGATTCTAACTATGAAAGCGGTAAAGGAAAGCTGTAAATTCCAACATATGAAAGTGGTAAAGGAAAGCTATAAATTCGACGTTTTTAAGATAGGGCCTTCTGGATATCCTTTATAATTCTATCACTGGACGAGTTTCTGGACCTCCACTAGATTAATATCGGCATTGGTCCGCTGCAACACAGGCCCTTCAATATAGGGTTTCAATGTCGCTCCGTTGACAAGGAAGGAATCGCTTTCTCTGGGGTTGTCCACATTAGTAAGTCTTATGGCTCCACTTGGCAGAACTTGTCTGACGATATACGGCCCAGTCCACCGTGATCTCAATTTCCCTGGGAATACGTGGAGCCTAGTATCATATAACAGAACCTTGGATCCTTCATTGAATTCTTTTTTCTTCAACTTCCTGCCGTGATAGAATTTAATCCTTTCCTTATAGAGTTTTGCGCTTTCATATGCAAGGTATCGGAACTCAGTCAGGTCGAGCAATTGTTTGGCGCGCTTCTCCTGCGCGGGGAGAAGATCAAAGTTCAAATACTTAATAGCCCAATACACGTGATGCTTGAGTTCCAAAGGTAAGTGGCAGGCTTTTCCATACACGAGCCTATATGGCGACATTCTTAGTGGAGTTTTGAAGGCTGTTCTATATGCCCACACCGCATCATCCAATTTTTCTGCCCAATTCTTACAACTTTTATTTACTGTGGTCTAGAGGATATGTTTGATCTCTCTATTTGAAACTTCCACCTGACCGCTTGCTTGTGGGTGATAGGGGGTAGTAAGATGTTGACGAACACCATATTGTTGAAGGCAAGTTTGCATCGCCTTGTTCACAAAATGGGTGCCTTCATTGCTTATTATAGTTTTGGGGACCCCGAACCTTGGGAATATAGTATATTTTAGGAAATGGATCACGGATCGAGCGTCATTTTTTGGGAGCGCTTGCACTTCGACCCACTTGCTCACGTAATCCACTGCCACCAGAATGTATAATTTCTTATTTGAGTTCGGAAAAGGGCTTATAAAATCTATCCCCCATACATAAAAAATATCCACAAACAAGAATCCAGTTTGGGGCATCTCATCCCGCTTTGAGATAGAGCCCAACCTTTGACACTTGTCGTAAGATTTGGCAAAGAAGATCAACATCTTTCTGTAGGGTAGGCCAAAAGAAGCCTGACAGCAAAACTTTGGCCGTTGTGCGCAGGCCAGCAAAATGACCTTATACATGGGACCCATACATTTGTTCAAGATCAGCGGGATCTCAGATTCCGCTACACAACGGCAGATTATCCCATCTGAGCCGATGTTAAACAAATATGGTTCATTCCAAAAATAGTCATTTGCCAAATTGAGCAATCTCTTCTTTTCCCTTTGTATTGTATGCGTAGGAAACTGCCCTATAGTTAAAAAATTTGCGAGGTCAGCAAACCATGGTTCCTTTGCTTGTACCAGGAACAACTTCTCGTCTGGGAATAATTCGTTGATTCCAGGGGATATGTCCTCTGCCTGCCTTAATCTGTTGAGGTGATCTGCCACATGATTTTCCTTTCCCTTTTTGTCCTTGATCTCTATGTCGAATTCTTGGAGCAACAACACCCATCTGATCAAGCCGGCCTTTGTCTCCTTCTTCTCCATCAAATATCTGATCGCTGCATGATCTGTATGAACAATGGTCTTGTTTCCGATGAGATATTGCATGAATTTCTCAAAAGCCAAGACAATAGCTAGCAGCTATTTCTCGGTTGTAGTGTAATTCTTCTGAACAGAATCCAACGATTTATTTGCGTAGTAAATAACATTTAGTTTGGATTCTACTCTTTGACCTAGCACAGCGCCGACGACATAATCACTTGCATCCGTCATTAATTCGAATGGCTCGCTCCACACTGGTGCAGAAATTATAGGAGCGGTGGTTAGCTTTTCCTTTAGAATGAGGAAAGCCTCATCACCTTGTTTGACCAATCAAAATGAGCATCCTTACACAACAGTGCAGTGAGCGGTTGCGTGATTTGACTGAAGCCCTTGATGAAGCGACGATAAAACCCCGCATGTCCAAGGAAACTCCGTACTCCCTTCTCATTTGAGGGTGCTGGCATCTTTTCGATTACACTAATTTTCGATCTTTCTACCTCTATCCCGGCAGCTGAGATCTTATGGCCTAAGATAATTCCTTCATTCACCATTAAATGAAACTTCTCCCAGTTTAGCACGAGATCAGTCTCAATGCAGCGGAGAAGTATTTTTTTTAGGTTATTCAGGCATCTGGAAAATGTCTTGCCATAAATCGAGAAGTCATCCATAAACACTTCTATGCAGGAGTCTAGGAGATCATTAAATATATGGTACATGCATCGTTGGAAGGTGGCCGGAGCATTGCAAAGCCCGAACGGCATCCTCCTATAAGCGAACGTACTATATGGACATGTAAACATGGTCTTCTCACAGTCCTCCGGTTTGATGGGAATCTGATGGTAACCTGAGTAGCCATCGAAGAAATAGTAGTATTCGTGACGTGCAAGCTTAACCAGGCATTGATCAAGGAACAAAAGCGGGAAATGATCCTTCTTTGTTGTAGCATTCAACCTTCTGTAATCGATGCATACCCTCCATCCAGTGACATGTCTTGTCATAAAACCCCCCCTTGTCGCTTGTCTGCTAGACGAAGCCTCCTTTCTTGGGAACCACCTAGGTTGGGCTGACCCACTGGCTGTCACTAATAGGGTAAATGATTCCTGTATCGAACAGTTTGATTACCTCCTTCTTTACTACCTCTTGCATATTCTCATTTAAACGCCGCTGAGGCTGTCTGCATGGCTTTGCATCAGCGTCTAGCCTAATATGGTGCATACACATCGCTGGGTTGATCCCTTTGATGTCAGTTATCTTCCATGCAAACGCCACTTTTCTTCTTCTGAGAAGCGAGACGAGCTGAGCCTCTTGGTCCGGTAGTAGTGAAGCGGAGATTATCAGCAGGTAAGTCTCCTCCGGGCCAAGGTATATATATTTGAGGTGCTCAGGTAACTTATTCAGCTCGTCTTTGATGCAAGCATCGCTCGCTGGTTCTCTCTTAACCTCCCCAGTAGACTCAGTGGGAGCTGATCTTTCACCGCTTGCCCCACTGGAGTCCACAACATCTTCCAGCTCAAGTGATCCATTATCTGAAATTTCATCCAGAATCTCAAGTGTCATACAGCTCTCAAAAGTTGATGATTCATTTAACTCATCGATAAAATCACAATTTTCTTCTTGAGGTTGACGCAGTGCTTTGTTCATGGAAAATGTGACTCTATCTCCACCTAAGCTCAGTGTTATTTCGCCTTGGGCGACGTTAATAGTTGCTTGAGTGGTGGCTAGGAAAGGTCTCCCAAAATGATTGGAATTTTCCGATCTTCACTCATTTCTATTATTATAAAATCTGCAGGGAAAATAAATTTGTTCACTTGCACTAGTACATCATCAATAATTCTTTTCGGAAGTCTTATTGATTTATCAGCAAGTTGAATTACAGTTCTGCATGCTTCTAATTCATAAAGCCCTAATTTAGAGAAAAACGAGAAGGGCATATGATTGATGCTTGCTTCTAGATCATATAATGCCCTAATCGGCTCTAAATTGTCTATAGTACAAATAATGATAAAAACTCCCAGGATCGCTCAATTTCTTTGGGAGGTCCTCCTTAAATACAGCGCTGCACACAGTTTCCAATTGCACCGCTGCCGCTTCATCAGGGAATGCCCGCTTTCGATTGATGATGTCTTTTATGAACTTAGCGTAATGTGGCATCTGCGAAAAAGCATCAGCAGACAGCATAGTAACTCTAAGACTACGGAAATTATGCAAAAACTTATCAAATTCCTTGGAATTGTCCTTCTTCCCAAGTCGGGTAGGAAAGGGAGCCCTGCCCAAAGGCTGAGCGGGACCCTTCTCCTTCAGTTCAGGCACTCGAGCGGCTGGTATCGCTCGTGGATGGGATCGACCTTCTTCCTCAGCTGGAATCTGTATAACTTCATCCTGTACAGGCAAGTTAGCAACAATAGTAGTAGAAGAAAGATTAATACCTTTGTCTGGCAGTGGTGGTGATTGCGTTCGCTTTCCACCCTTTGTTTCTATGGCCTTCGCTTGGTTTGGGACAGTCTCAATTGTCCCAGGCAACGTTCCTTTTTGCTTTAGCTTCATAGCTTCAGCTATCTGCCCGATTTGGATTTCCATCATTTTGATCGAGGCAGACGTGTTTCGTTAGAACTCCTGATCTACGTGCTCAGTGTTCCTCCAGAGCTCCTCTAGACTCAGCTGCTGTTGAGCTGCTGTGGGAGGTTGGGCAAAAACAGGTGCTTGCTACGAAAACTAGGGGGTCTGAAAGTACTGTTATTGATGTGGATAGAATCCCCCTTGGTGATATTGTTGCGCAGCGAACTGTTGCGGCTGTTGGAATTGTTGTTGAGGACGTGGTCCAACGGGGCCTTGACCATGCCCTTTTTGTTGTAGAGGCATTTCTGCCAGCCATATAAAAGACCTCCGCTGGGTTCTGAGACTGCTCAGATGAGCACTCAGCAACCTGCGGACTTTGTTAGTCTGTATAGGCGCACTCCTCACTAACTGATAACAAATATTTTGTGATGCGTAATTTGTATATATTCACAGGGAATTTTATATTTGAAAATCAAGGTGTGAATTACTATAGAAAAAGGTCAGATATAGTAAAATGTTTTGTTTGTAGACCCTGAGTAGTTATCACAATTATTTATACTCTTTTACTGGTGAGTGTCCAGGTCGAACACAAGGATTTTAAGTCATGAATTTCAAACCATGTGTAGATCTTGTAAAAGCAGTGAAAAGTCCAGTATAAGGACCCATTTTGCAGCGGATCCAAATTTTTATTCTACTGAAAGCGGTAACTAAAAGCGGTAAAGTGAGCGGAGACGAGTGAAGCGGAGGTGAGCGATGAAGTGCCAGTGATGGTCGAGTGACTCGGACATGAGCGGATGGCACAATATACATATATATATATATGTATAAACGGTAGAGAGTGAGGGATAGGTGCTATATCTGAACTGTGTGTTACTTAATGGCTAGATTTTTTTGGATGAAGTGAGCGTGCGATGTTGGTGGGTTAACGGAGGTATATATATAATATAGAAGCGGGGGAAGAAGATGATGTAAATATATAAGCCGAATTATAAAGAATTCTTATCACTGGAATCTGACCTTAAGGGATTTACAATAAAACTTCAATGACACCCAAAATCAGAATATTATAAAAAAGAAATCCTACTGTCACTAGGAATTTTTGTGACATAATAGACCACCGCCTATGCCCCATTAATTATCCCAACTTCTACCTCATTAGTGGCTTTACTATTCTGTTACCTCTTTTTAATCAAAATTGAATTCAAAATAGTAGTTAAGCAGGTCGACAAGGCTCCCGCGTACTTAACTACATTGAACTACCTTGAAAACGCTTTTGGCAAAAGACAAGGCTTGGATAATCAATTCTTTTTATGCTTTAAACCAGTTAAATGAATTTCCTTGAAATCAGAGTTTATATAAGTGTGAAAAAGATGTGAAAGAAATAGAGATGAAGAACTAAATGATATTTCATTACTTACTAATAAAACTGGAATTGCTAATTCTATAAAGCTGTAATTGAAAGCAATAAAGCTACACTAAGTAAGCAGTAAAGTCTTGGCCAAGGGAGAAGGGAAATCTCCACTCCCTTGGCCATTCATGTGGAGAACTCCCTTACAGGGTACGAGCTCTCAAAGAACAGGAAGATAGCTAGAATACGTAGGAAAATTAATCGCTATAATACTCCGATCGAAGTATATCTACATACAGATATCTGGCCCTATTTATAGCAGGTGAAAAGAAACGGTTGCAAGCAGTTAGAAGGCAGTTTCAACCGTTAGGCTATTAGGCGTTTGATGGCAGTTATTCTGTTGAAGCAGTTGCTGGCCATAACTCCTAAGGTGCTCGCTTCGCTTGCATAGGATTGTATGGGCTCAGATCTTCCTTGCTTGTCAAAGGGCTAAAGGGCATCAGCGCAGCTAGGCGGGCTGGCTTGTGCTGGCTGGTAATGGAATGGTTGCACCGCTGCAGTTGGGACACTTAGTCAATATTTGAGTTGGGTTGTTGTCACTCTACAACAGTGGGTGTCTGAGCCGTCGCTTGCAAGAAAGAGAGACTGTCGCTTGTGAGCGGTGGAAGCTACCGCTTTCCTCTCTTGCCTTAGCTTTTCTGGGTGATGTAATCGTCGTTTGCAAGCGGAAGTGGTTGTCGCTTGTGGGCTCTGCCTTAGTTTTTCTTGCACCAAAACACCGCTTAAAAGGGCAGAAATAGTTAATAATCTCAACAAACAAACTTTGGATCATGCCAAGCAATATAGATCAATAAAGTATGCCATTAACCAGTCGCGGCACCTGTAGTAGGACAGAGGACTTATCGCGATGCTCACATTGTGATGGTTTTTATACAGAAATTCAGGTAATACATAGTTTTGTCAAGCTAAGAATATGCTCATATTTGGAGTCATCAATAACCATGGCCTCGTTTATTGCCTATTTTCCTTTACTACGCAGGTCCTGCTTCACGAGCTTAGACAACTCTTTAACTTGGACAGACAAACTGTCAATCTGTGCATCGTGTGATACTTAAGCAGGGACCTGGTATAGACCCCTTGATGGCTCGGGCCTGTTGGTCTCTGGCCAACTAGTCTGATTGGCCGCCATTCTTTCAATTAAAGCCCTCGCTTCTGAGGCACAGCGCCCCATCAGCGAGCTTCCTGCCGCTGCATCTAAGGACATCCTCAATTCAGGAGTAATTCCTGAGTAAAAAATCTGTAGCTCCATGAAGTCCGGAATCTCATGATGCGGGCAGTTGCGGAGAAATTGTTTGTAGCGGCTCCAGGCTTTATGAAGGGTCTCGTTATTCGCCATCTTGAAACTCAGTATTTCATTTCTCTGACGAATGGTTTTTGACACAGGATGATATTTACTTACGAAGGCCTGCACTGCTTCCTTGAAAGAGGCAGGAATGGGATAGAGGCTATTGAACCATTTCCTGGCTTCTCCTGTTAAAGAAAAAAGAAACAAAATTAACTTCGCAGCGTCCTCCGTGATGCCGTGTGATTCGGAGGTGGTAGCAATCCTGTTGAATTTCTAAAGATGCTCGTATGGGCTTTCATCGAGCAGCCCATGAAATTAACTATGGCTCGCCAGGCTAACGAGCGTTGGTTTCACCTCATAATGGCCAGAGCCTCTTGGTGTAGAACTTGTAATAAGTGTACTATCCAAGAGGGACTGATAGTGAACGTCTATGGGGACTTCAGCAAGCGGGTGTTCAGCAGCCCTTTGTCCCTCAGGCCTCTGGTTAGGCTCAATAGTAGGTGGTGGGGTGATGACGGCGGGGATTGCAGCGGCGTTGGCAGCTTGAGCCGCTTGGGAAGCGATGAATGCTCCTTGCGCAGCTTGGGCTTTCTCCACCTAAGCAAGATGCGCTTGTAGTCCAGCCATTCCCTGTTGAATGCTGCCGAAAGCTCTCATGAGCTATTCCTCGTCGGTGTCAGCGTGTGGGGAACGACATTCGGGACTACAGTGAGGATATGGAGCGACACCTCCTGCAATGATGCTGATGTGGCAGAATTCGAGGAAGTACCAATGGCAATCTGGAAAGCTGGGACAACAGTAGAGAAAGTGGTGGCATTTCCTTGGTTTGCCATGATCCTTTCTCTGATTAACTCTCTAAACAGACGTCTCTGTGAGAGAGCGGAAAGAGTGGGACTCGTGGAACGCTGAAAACGCTTTGGACCCCTACATAAAAATAGCCACACCAAAATAACAAGTTAGAACCAGAGTTAGTGAAAATAGAAAACAAAATTTCAAAAAATGTAAGGGTAAATTATGGCGCTTCGAAAGATATTAACAAGAATAATTTTCATGAGTTTAAAATACCCTGCAACGGCGCCAAATTATAATTACTAAAGAATTTGTTGAATGTGTGTGTGATTTGTGTATATTCACAGGGAATTTTCACTGGAAGGTGGAGATGTGGTGGTGTTGAGCGAGAAAAACCAATGTGTAGGGTTTTCAAGAATGGGCTTAGAAAATTGAACTAACGATTGGTGTAGAGTCTAAATGGGCCTGTCGATAGTGGTATTTAAAAGATGGGTTTCCTCGGGAGAAACCTGTGATTGAGGGGTCGGGCAAGGAGAGGACGGACGAAGAAGGGAAAATAGTATGTGCTCAGGTCGAGCAAAAGAAGGTCGGGCAAAAATGAGACAGCCGATACGGAGGCCGGGCAAAGTGGCAGACGGACAAAAAAGAGACCTAGCAGTGAATATGCAGGTCGGGCGAAAGGCACTTTTAAGGTGGTTAGAAGAAGTTATAACTAGCGAGCGGAGTTAGGGGCACGACTAAGATGTGGCGGTTGATATGGGTTTTAAATAGGTCTTTTCACGACCTAAAGAAACCATCTTCAATCGACATCAAATTCACTGGAATTTCTTTTGGGGATCACCATTTACTTTTTTCAGTCTATAGTATTTATTTTTCCTATTTTATTTATATATCATACGGTGTCTAAGGATTGTTAAATCTCAGGCATTTTATTTTATCAAATTCAAAGATAATTTCTATTTTCGGGTTTTACTTTTTATTGTTGAAAATCGGCATCAACAATTTGGCGACCATAGTGGGAGAAAGGCAAGATTGTTGATCCTACGTCAAGAGAGAATTTCATACAACTGGGGTCCGGCCGAATCATCGGAAGGATCCATATGGCAGGCTCATAGCCCCAAGTATCTTCAATACCGGTGGGAGAAACCATTTCACCACCTGCCATGCCAAATGCAGGGAAAGTCCCCCAAGCACCCGTCGATTGGGTGTCTTATGTTCAACACTTGAACAATTAGCAAACTCTGGCTACGCAAAACATGTTGCGTGAGCAACAAAACCTCATGTTGCGTGAGCAACAAAACCTCATGCAAAATATGTTAGATCAAGCTTTATCAAGGGTTACTCTTCAACCCACTCAGTCACCACCAGGGATGTCACCATCCAGATTACAAGAAAATTTTGCGGGGCCTTCATATGTAGATAGCACTCTTCCAAGTGCCACTGCTAGGGTTGACAGGGGAAAGACTCCTCTAACATACCTAAATAATGTTCCAGTAGGTGTCAGAGCCGAGCCAACCATCCCCAGAGAAGAAAGATTGG